CCCCCACCAGAGTTTTTGCCATCTCCCCCATTGTTCAGTCTTTCTCGCCACTCTGTGCTTCTTCTCTCACTCTGCCCCCTTTTAAACGTCATCTCTCATCGCAGCCATCTTAATCATTTTTTAATCTGTGGTCGTCCTGCTGTCACTGCACCAAGTGGGTAATGATGATAATGGTGATGATGACACTGATTTGTCATAGTAAGATATTTACCATCTGCATCGACAGACTCGTTAAATGGGCAAAGATTTCACTGCTTGAGCAGCTTTTATTTTGCAAATGACATCACAGACTGTAGGACCTGTAGACAAGTGAGGATGGTTGAACATCTTTAGGGAGCATTTCTCACCTTTATACCAAAAAAAAAATGTGTGACTGCAGGCTCCATCAGGCACAGGTTTCTATCAACAGGTACACAATCTACCCAAAAACATAATTAGGGCAGAAGTGGCAAAAACCCATACAGAGCAGCACACTTTGCAAAATAAATTAAATTGTCATACAATAATCTTTAGTAAAGTAACCAGATATACACCGATCAGCCACAACATGAAAACCACCTGCCTAACAATGTGTAGTTGAATGTGAATATGTCCTTGGGTAACTGACACCGAGACATTAACACCAGATCCTTTTAAGTCTGTAGGTTACAAGGTGGGGTCTCCATGGATTGGACTTGGTTTTCCAGCATATCCCACATGCTCCATAAGATTGAGGTCTGGGGAATTTGGAGGTTTAGGCAACACCTTGAACTCACAAATTCTTTGGTATTCTTATGTTTATTTATTTTGTTTGCATTGGAACAAAAAAAAGCCAAATCTGATCCATTCCACACAGAACTCCAAAAACTGGACTGGACAGAATTATTGACACCTTTTGTAAATCATCAGAAATGGTTGTATTTCAAGCATCTGATGCTCCTCTTAATTTGCAATGAAACTCATCTGTAGCAACTAGAATAGTGGAAAAGCATTGACAATCTCAAGGCTACAAGTCCATCTCCAGAGATCTGGCTGCACTGTGCGCAACATTGTCAGGAAGATTACAGCCCATGGCGCTGTAGTTAATCTCCCTGAAAGTGGGCGAAAGAGAAAAACAGATGAGGAATCAACTTCCAAACAAATTCAAGCCTGTAGGCACAGGGTGCAACAGTGTTAGCTCGCACTGTCCGTCACCATCTGAGTGACAAGAATGACAGAATTATTGCTATATACTCCTGGGAAGTGTTGGAATTGTTAAATAGTTCTTGGACATATTGCCCTAGGTGGTTTTCCATCATATTTCTTTTAATTACATTGCTTTCTCTGTGGTATTAAAAAGTTTTAAAATTGACCTTGCTGTTCTCAAATGCTCTCTTGTTTTTTTTTGCATGATTCTGCTCAAGTTGTTAAACATGTGGATGTTGTGCCATCCCTCTCTGTTGCCCCTCAGGTGTACATGTACCAGCTGTTCCGCAGTCTGGCTTATATCCATTCCCAGGGTGTGTGTCACAGAGACATAAAGCCCCAGAACCTCCTGGTGGACCCAGAGACGGCCATCCTGAAACTCTGCGACTTTGGCAGGTTAGTATCAGCCACTGCCCATGGATGCGTTTGTCTGTCTGTCTAAAACTTTATTTCCATTGTGGCAGGTGTCTGTATGTCAGCGTGCGTTGTTAGATGGCTGTATGTTGGAATCGCCATCCCTTTCTTAGTTTCTCTTGCAGTGTGTATCTGTCACATGCACTCTAACCTCCCTGTTTGGGTCGCTTATATTCTGAGGTTTTGTGAAACCAACACACTGAGAAATCAAAAGTATCCTGATACTGTCCTTCTGAGCTGTCTCGTCTCCCATCTACCACCTTCTAGTGCTAAGCAGCTAGTTCGGGGGGAGCCAAATGTGTCCTATATCTGCTCACGGTACTATCGTGCCCCAGAACTCATCTTTGGTGCCACCGACTACACATCCAACATTGACATCTGGTCTGCTGGCTGTGTGCTAGCTGAGCTGCTGCTGGGTCAACCCATCTTTCCCGGAGACAGCGGTGTGGACCAGCTAGTAGAGATCATCAAGGTACAGTGAAGTGAGGGTGCTACAAAGAGTGAAGGAAATCTAGCTTAGCCAAGTCCTACTTAACTTAATGTATACTGAAAGTTAACAGCAGGTATTACTAAATGGAGAGCAGAAGGGCAATGCAAGCATGGACTTAATATAACAAAGTATATTTGTGTTATCATCCATACTGACAACTATCCTACCCCTCTTTTGTGTAGAGGCATTCAAGACCAATAAATGTAATTAATATTGAAAATTAATTTTTCATCCTTGTTCATCAGGTTTTGGGGACACCAACCAGGGAGCAGATCCGGGAGATGAACCCTAACTACACAGAATTCAAGTTCCCACAGATCAAAGCACACCCTTGGACAAAGGTATAGTCATCTTACTAGAACATACACTGAGTTGGGAGTTTATTAGATACAAGTTAAAGGTAATGCAATCTAAATGAACAATCCTGCAATAGATCCTCCCTTTATAGATGTGAATATGTTCAGTTTTAGAGCGATTCTGATTGAACTGTATAATTGTTATGGGAGACCTAGTTTGTGCTGCTGTTAAACTACCAGAGTGTTTGTTGTTTAGCCTAGCCGCACTGATATGAGTATAATAATAGAAAAACCTGTCAGTATAACAACACATTTCACAAAGTAGTTTTAATTCTGTGATTCTCTTTGTTCTTACTGACGCCGCTCTCTCTCCTCACTCACACTCTCTCCCTCTCTCTCTCTCCGTCTCTCTCATGGAACTCCAAGCCTCCGTTCTGCCTCGTCCCATTTATACAGGAGGTGGTGTGAACTCTTCTCTGAAAAAATACTACATCTTGTTGCCAATTTGTGGAGGGTCAAATTTACCCCCCACGCTGGGACTGTACCATTTATACAGAATGGCGAGGCAAACTCTCACATTGAATGGGCAGTGTAAAAGGGGCTTCTGAAAGAGTTTAAGCAAAAACTGAACATTGAAAGGAGGATTTATTTTAGGGCTGTTGCACTAGACTGCGTTTGTTTCAACTAGGTGAACCTAATAAACTCCCAATTTAGTGTATTATTGGTGAAAAGCAGTTAACCAGACACTCAGTCTGAGATTTTAGTATTTATAGGTCTGTGAAATAACTGCTTTGCCTTTTATTAGGTAGGGAACTAAGCCATAGAAAAATGTGACCCAGGTTGTAATAAACGGAACTGTGATTTGATTGTATTAGGGCTGTCACTTTTCATTTGAATTTTGAACATTAGCTCCAACGTGGTAGAAAAAAAATAACAATTCTAACAGTAATGACCTGTTTGAATCCAACAATGTAGCGTATCTGAATATTTGATGTAACAATTTCAATTTTTCAATTTTATTGGTATAGCACCAAATCACAACAAAGGTCATCTCAGGTCACTTTACAAAGTACTATTATCACTATTATTATGGAGGAAAACCCAAGAAATCCCCCCTTGAGCAGCACTTGGCGACAGCGTGGAGGAAAAACTTCATTTAACGGAAGAAACCTGGGCGGCCTTCTGCCTCGACTGGAGAATACCTTCTTAAAATTCACTATTAGCTTGACCAGTTACATGGCCTATGGACCTCTCAGTAAAGTAAGCTTGTTATGTTTGCAAGGATAAAATGCGGGATAATAGTAAGCAAAGTTGTGCTGATCAGACTATAATAACCCCAGAACAGTGTCAAGGTAAAGCGGTATGCTGGCTCACCAAAAAGCAAACGCCTGACTCAAGTAAAATAACACATCTGAGGACTCGTCTGCAATCTAAGTGAGGCACCAAAGTCTTTGTTAAAATTCTCCCTCCTGTCAGGTATTTAAGCCTCGTACCCCACCAGAGGCCATTGCGCTCTGCTCTCGACTGCTGGAATACACACCGGTGACCAGGCTTTCTCCCCTGGAGGCATGTGCACATGCCTTCTTCGATGAGCTGCGCCAGCCCAACACCCGCCTGCCCAGCGGTCGAGAACTGCCGCTCCTCTTCAATTTCAGTCCCGTTGGTCAGTTAACCTCACGATTTTTTTGTCATTTATCTTTACTCTTTTTGTTTTTGACCTCTGACCTTCACTTAGATGCTCATCTTTAGCATTTTATGTGTAAACATTTACTTGCCTTTTCTGCCTTCTCAGAGCTGTCTATCCAGCCTCAGTTGAACTCCACACTCATTCCTCCTCACGCTCGTGCACAGACATCACCTGCCTCACATGGTATGTATGGCAATATAAAATGATGCCTTTTGGTTGCGTTTCCACTGTCGGAACCTAACAAGTGGTACACCTCCTGCTTCCCATAACTGTCACTCAGCATAACCTCACAGACGATTCTGCTTTGCTTTTCAACAGTTTTTCCCTGTGTCTGTCTCTGTTTAGATGAGGGTAGGCCTGCGCTCCTCGCACACAAACACACACACACACAGACACACTCTCTCCCACACACTCATAGCTGAGGAGAGAATGTGAATCAAGGACCACAATGCTCCTTAGTGCAACAATCAGCCAGTAATGGAGACTGTATAAGCAGTTTATCAGATAGCCGTTGAGCAAGCAGAACACCTCTTTGCCTGTGGCCCACTCGTTGAAGTCCCCATTTTACCTCTAAATCAACAAGTGAAGTCGTCATAGTTTACCTCTTAACCAGTGAGTGTGTTTATATACCATCTTTTAGGCTAATGCTAAAGCAGCAGCACAGTGGCTCAGAGGAAAACACTCCAGAGGGTCATTAATATGGCCCAGGAGATCGTCAGCTGCCCTCTCCTCACTCTAGAAGAACTACACAGTTCCCACTGCCTCAAAAAAGCCCAGAACATCATTAAGGACACTTCACACCCAGGACTTTCACTCTGAACTGCTGCCATCAGGTAGACAGTTCAGAGTAATCAAATCAAGGACCACTAGATTCAGGAATAGTTTTTACCCAACAGCAGTTACCACACTCAGTGCTGCTAAAATATAATATGCCTGATGGGGGGGTGGGGTGTGAGAGGTCTGTTTCTAGTGTTGTTTTTCTAATGTTTTTTTTTTTTTTTTATGGTCATATTTCATTTAATTTTTTTCTATTGCTGTACCGACTGGAGGTCACTCTAAAATTTCGTTGTATGCGTTACAAGTACAATAAAGGATTATCTATCTATCTAATAGTTGAGACAATGACATTTAATCAATTACGTGCAGCAGCTCTGTGATCCCCCTCGAGGGGTACCAAAATTTATCTCCAAAAACACACCTCCAAAGCGGGCAGAGGGCAGTGGAAATAAACACAGAACCTGTGACAAGCATTACATTTCAGTAGGTTCCAATGCTGGAAAAACCCTGTTTGATTCCACAGTTTTCCTGTGTAGCTAGTTCATTCATTAATTATAAGTTTCTGTTAAGCTGTCTGTTTTAAGAGCCTTATAAAATGTACCACCCAAGCTGAAGTCACTGAGGTAGTCAAGAAGCTTCTCGGTGTCCCTCACAGCGCCCTGTGGGGGGATGGGGGGGTGGGGTGTGAGAGGTCTGTTTCTAGTGTTGTTTTTCTAATGTTTGTTTTTTTTTTGTTTTTTTTTTTATGGTCTTATTTCATTTGTTTATTTTTTTTCTATTGCTGTACCGACTGGAGGTCACTCTAAAATTTCGTTGTATGCGTTACAAGTACAATAAAGGATTATCTATCTTTCTAATAGTTGAGATAATGACATTTAATCAATTACGTGCAGCAGCTCTGTGATCCCCCTCGAGGGGTACCAAAATTTATCTCCAAAAACACACCTCCAAAGCGGGCAGAGGGCAGTGGAAATAAACACAGAACCTGTGACAATCATTACATTTCAGTAGGTTCCGATGCTGGAAAAACCCTGTTTGGTGCCACAGTTTTCCTGTGTAGCTAGTTCATTCATTAATTATAAGTTTCTGTTAAGCTGTCTGTTTTAAGAGCCTTATAAAATGTACCACCCAAGCTGAAGTCACTGAGGTAGTCAAGAAGCTTCTCGGTGGCAAGGCACCGTGGGTGGATGAGATCCGCCCTGAGTACCTTAAGTCTCTGGATGTTGTTGGGCTGTCTTGGTTGACACGCCTTTGCAACGTCGCATGGCGGTCGGGGACAGTGCCTCTGGACTGGCAGACCGGGGTGGTGGTCCCTCTTTTTAAGAAGGGGGACCAGAGGGTGTGTTCCAACTATAGGGGGATCACACTCCTCAGC